TCAAAATGTACTAAAAAAACAAAAAGCTCGCATTAAATTAGTTATCAAACACACATTTAATCATCAGTTAACATTTACAAAGAAAAATTAAAATAAAATTACAATAATTACGTTAGAAATTGGGATCAATGGTTTGTCAGTGTAGAAAATGGCGTTGGTTAAACACATTTTGTGTCGCCGATAGCAACGGAGTAGTGTATCGTGATGTAACACTGTAGTACACTATGATGACGTCATATCATATAATTTCAAATTGTATCAAAAAAAGTTAAACATGTTTAACTTTTTTTGATGATGTCTGTCAAAAAGTTTTTTAAAATTTTTAAGAAAACACCTTTTGACCAATAAGCACACACTACAAATCACACCAACCAATCAGATTTGATAATTCAGTTTTATCAAAATGCATCACATTTTTTGAGGCAGTTTGATGTATTTTGATGATATTGTTCCGTCACATTTTATGGGATGCTTTTTTGATTAAATTAGATAGTGTACAGTTTAAATCCAGACTAAAAACTGTTGTATGCCCATATATAGTCATGATGTGCCTGTATATGGTCATGGTGTGATGTCATTAAAGAAAAGAAGCGGGCGGTACGAGAAAAGTTTTTTAACTTGGCCTAATGCCGAATATGCACAAGCTTCCTTTTAACATTACGAAGAATAAATTACATTGAATAATTGAAGTTATTTTTTCTTCATTTTTCTATTAACCTTATATTAACTGTTTGTCAATCCATTAATTATCAAAATATCCTATAGACATCATGTTGGGATGTAGGCCTAGAAAATGCCAAAGCTTCGAGCCAATGAGCGCCACAGTATGTTAGCCCATGATCCCAATCAGATGTCTGTTGACTTGTCTTCGGACGGCACCGGCTCCACTAATTGCCAATTTACACTGCTATTAAAACAACGTGAAGATTCATCTTAAAGGTTACCAAAGCAATCGCAAGCAATCTTCCACGAGGACTTGGCAAAACACCATGGGGTGAAACAGTAGCTGGTATGGGGTTTTCTTTTCTTCTGAATGTTCCATTTATCGGTGAAATGCTGCAGGATTTAATCTGTTTATCCAGCTGATTCGGTACGTGATGGTCACGACCCACCTGGCCATGTGTTTATTAAAGGAATGGAATTTCAAAGTAAACACTATATGCCGCCATGCCTTGTTACCATGGTTATCTTAAATTGCATCACCCTTACAGATGATATGCTCCATATAAATTTTTCATAATGTTATTGAATTTCTAATTGTATATAAATATTTTTTTTTCAATATTATTGAATTACTAGATACAAAATGTAATGTCTGAACAGGATGTAAAAAGTGAGGATGTATTGAGAGATTATATTAATTATATATTGAATGATTTAATATGTTAAAGAAGATTCAGGATTAGACCTTAAGACATTTGACTTTTTAAGTCATCCTTTGAATCTGAAAATTTAATCATAACCGAAAGATATGATATTAGGATTAATTGAATAAATCAAGGATACAGACATCACGTCTCCTTCAACCCTCTTCCCACCCCAACCTCAGCTCAGATTTCTTATATGAAAAAAATATTTCTAGATCATAATCAAAATGAATTCCAGCTCTTGTGTACATATGGGTCGTATAATAATCTTGCGTTCAAGAATTTTTTTGTAATTTGTTAAGACTTAATCTCAAGTGGTGTGAGGAAGAATGTTGTGTTGATAGGCAGCTTCGGTGAAGCTGTCTACTAGAGGGCTTGTCCTGATGCTACGCATCAGTATTTATAGTTCATGTTGCAAAGAATCGTGCTAAGGGCACGGTGAGCTCAATAACCACAGCTGTTGTTTGTACAGCACCTGTCTGTAGAATGTTGCAAGTGATTTTTTAGCGGATTGCCAAATGTAAGACGGGCTTTGTGTCATTTAGAGAGTACTTTGTTACCATGGTTTTTTTGTTTCGCATTTGTTGTAGAAGGTGGGAATGGAAAAATTAATAATGCGAAATTAATAATAATAACAAGCATATGTTGCAAGACTTTGGAACATTTTGGAAAAAACATTTCCAGGAATGGTATAAAAAAAAAATTCTTGGATTAGCAGTGTAGATGCCACCAAAATACACATTAAAATTTTACGTAGTCTCTATATTGATTGACCGATTGATTTAATTTATTCAGTTAAATGCACTCCGATAACCCATGGAAGTCAACAGGACTTGCTTCTTTATTACGTCCCCAATAAAAAAAATTAAAAAATATGCTTTGAAAACAAATAATCGTATGAGCTAAAAATAGCAAAATTTAAAGAAAATCGAAATGACAGATAGTGACTGCACATCTCCAACCATCTGTTCCATATGGAATTTCTTACAGTTCCATAAATGTATTACTGTTAATGGTAATTGGGCATGGTTGGGCACCATTGTGTTAGAAAATACCCACCACTCATAACATGACTAAAATGAAATTACTTGCTCCTCATTACACATCTAGTTATGTCTCGAAAACATGTTAATAATATTCTAATAATTAATTCATGTTTAACATTTTTGCCTGAAATTGTAAAAAAAAAAACCATTGACATTTACATACAATGTCCCTGTGGTAATAAAAAAAAAAGTGTGTAGCTAATTTTTGCGAGCATGGCAAACATTTTTTGTAAGGCATTAAGTAAAAAACAATGTAGGTCAGAAACATTTTCCAGACAAAAAAATATGAAGAGATAAGCTAGTGGGAAATTAGATTGAGAAGGATATTTATAAAATGATGACAAGGGACTAAAAACAGAAGAAAAACATGATTGTCAGGCCTCCTGTATCAGACTAATACTGGAGGCTGCCTGCTAGTCATCAGTGTGGAAATCTCTCTTATGCTGAAGAAGCCTTCCTTTTGGCCACTTTCCAAATCAAAATCTCGATTTTTGTGGGTGAAATCCCCATATAATGATAATCTGTTTGTTTAAATCTAGGAAAACTCCTTTCATAAAACATTGTGTTGCTTGGCCAAAAAGATTATATAAGTTACCAACATCACATATGAGGCAAGTCGTGGCGAAATGGTTAAGTTGTCGCACAGACCAGTATTAACTCAAAAATTTGCCTAAAAATCCAAATTTGTTTTTCACTCTAGATCAACAGTTTGATGTCTTATTAATCATGTCCCAAAGTATTAGTTCTGGAAGTGGTCAACAAATTGTTTATTTAACGTTATTTGCACAAATAACTTTGAAAGGCAATTACTCAAAATCATGTTTATCTTGACAATAAGAGTGTGGTACTTTCACTTTCCAATAACTGAGGCTAAAAATGTCCAATTTCAATGAATGACCCCTCATTTTAAAGATCACATACTCAGGTATCTGAAAATACCGATAACTTGAATTTCAATTTTTGCTACAACTTAGCCATTTTGCCACAACATGTCTCATATCATACATTTTTTGGAGTTTTTTTTTTTTAAATTTAGTTACATTACTGATTTAAATAGTCAGCCAGTGAAGACAGTAAATTTGTAATGAGTCAATGGGATTTTTATATTTGCTTAAAAAAAATACTGTGTTGAACTCTAGAAATTAATTTTTGATGATAAATTACAAAGAGAAAATTACTGTAACTACAGAAAACAGTTGAGGAATTGTTAGAAATGAGTACCTAACAGATGAAAAGGTTGTTCCAAAAGTCTGGTTCCAGCTGAACTGCAACAGCTAGGTACTATTTCTACTAGTACCAACTGCTACTAGAAGCTGTAGTTGGACAGAAAAACACCCAAAAGGCATGCTTCACAACCAAAGAATGAGATCCCAGTTTTTGTTTTCCATTAAAAAGTTGGCTGCAAGACAAACGCTGTCTTGTATCAAGACATTATGTAGCCCTAGATGTTTGTATTTCTGGAGGATTTTCCCACCGAAATCTAATTACTTTTAAACATTACATCTAAACATTTTTGTCTTCCCAAATACAATTTTTGCTTGAAATTGTATATGACAGCATTTGGTTTCTGTTAAATAAAAAGTATAGGAGCCTCATTGATTGTCAAAACCCACAATTCATTAAGGTTAGGTTCGCGCTAGAGCCTTAGTATCCGGATCGGGAACTAACCGTTAGCACCTGCATGAGAACGCCCAATCGTTTAGCCTTAACCATTACCAGGATCCAGATACGCTAATGTTTAGCGAGCGCTATCGGTTAGCAAGTTGAGTACGTTTCTGTGTTTGATATCTGGATCGGGCATTTTCTTTATGAACGGTGGCGCGTATGTTTTTAATCTGGATCCTGTTAACTGCTGGGTATGAACATAGCCTGATAGTGGCTCTGCCATTAGAAACCTGATGCAATGGCACCATGTCTCACCAAGGATTGTCAGATTTTATATTAGAGGGATGATAAACTTTGTATATTATTATTTATACATATAATTTATTGGCAAACCTATAGAACATATCTACTGTTAATGTCATAAAATTGCATTATGGAAGACAAGAAGGAACAGGGTTCATTTGTCCAGTCTGCTACTCTGCTGACTTACCTGTGCATTGCCAAATTCTATGCATACCCAGTTTCTTACAAATGTAAAAATATTTATGCACAGATGCGCATAATTCAATCATAAGATGTTTATGTAGTTAAACGAAATTAAACTTAATGTAGGTTATATAATTTAACCTGAGATGACATTCCTCAGTTGCATGATTCTTATAGAATTTTTGAGTATATATATATATATATATATATATATATATAAATTTGACAATCAGTGTGATTTTCATCCTTTTAAAGGAAGACAGAATATTATTTATGACTTTCTTATGCTGTAAATTTCTTAAAATATAATGATTAATGATTGGAATGAAAGTGAAATAATTTCATGAAATTGTACCCTATGTGCCATAAGGAAACATTTATTTCCAATTTCCATATAGGTTTCAATTTTTGAAAAATTTAGATAAAAATGTTATCTTCCTCCAAACTCGCTTCTATAAACATTATTTATATTTTGTTTTTTCAGGTGTGAAATTCATATGAATGTCGCCCTCTACAGAAATCAGCAATACTCAAAAAGGTTGGATAATATATTTTATTATTATACTCAGGTTATACTTTTTAATGATTTTAAATTTTTGCTTACTTTGTAAGGGGAAAACATGGGTTTTTATTCATTTTGGTTTCTTGTGCTCTTTCTTTTCTCTAGTACTACATTCACTGTATCCTGTCGGCTTAAGTAGGTTTCCTTCCTCAGGTGCAATTCAGTATAACATTAAATTACCTAACCTATATATTATAAGTACTAAGTTGCTAATTATAAACTCAAATGCATTTGTGAAATAAAAGAGCTAGGCTAATCAACACCTGTGTCCTAAATGCTTATGTGTGCGATATCGGAATGTGACACAGAATTGGATGTATTTTTTCCTCTCAAATCTTGCTGAGATAACATTGGAGGTATAATTGCTCTAAGTGTTCACATAACTAAAAGGAATATATTAGACCATGGAGGTATAAAATAATAAAAATAATTAGTTATACCTCTGTGATTAGACAAACAAAACAATATGTAAGTTGAATACTACTGAAAATACTCTTCTACAGCTACAAACTATATCGGTTATTTTCAGGAGTAAAACATAACATTTTTTTTCACCTTTTTTTAAACATGAAACTATATAAAATTTATTTAAAATTTAATACAAATTTGTAAATGAAAGTCTTTGTTTCCCCACAAGAGCTGGAGGGATAAACAAAAGTGAAATAAAAAACTGTCGAAGTGGCTCTCCAAGCATTTTGGGAAATACAGAAAATAACTTAATTTATATTTTAAATAACTACAACATTTAACTGAGCATTATATCCATGTATCGTCATAACATTTGTGAAGTTTTGATATACCTTTGGTTCATATGAAATGAGAGTTAGATTGAGTTTTTGGGTGGGGTTAGGTACATAGTGACGTCTGATTACCAGAAAATAAAACATTCAGGATTTTAGAGTCAAGACTAGGGAGGGATCAGAAAGAGGACCTACTGTAGAGAGGCCTACAGTGCATACTAAGATGTCCATGGCTAGAACTAGCTAATATTTTTATGCAAACTCTCAACAAAAATGATTTCATTTTTGTCCCAGTCCTTGAAAGTCGAGGTAAGCTTATATATACCCATGGTACATTGTGCTCCCGATTGTGTTTTTGCAAAACAAATTTCAAACAATGTATTTTATGAGTTTGACCAATAAATTTGATTAGGTTTGAAGTGATTTTGGTATGGTTTGAATTACGCAAACTGATTCCATTTTGTACATTGTAATTTTTTTCTCATTGCTCAAATAGCTGCATTGTATTTACGGTTTTAAGTTGTATCCTTTATGTTGATTAATATCAGAACATTAGGTGTTTTAAAAATTGCATGTGTCTCCCGTTTGGCTTCTATTTAAAATCATGGGCTTCTTTTTAGCATGGGCACATGCCTAAGGAGAGTGAATGCATACATTACCATATTGTGAATAACATGCATTCTGTAAATGTAACAAATATATTATAAACAGGACAGAATATAGAAACATAATTTACTGTGATATTATCAATCGTGATAGACATTGATAATGATGACTTGAGGTATATTTCTAAAAATAGAACATGTGAATGATTCCTGGATTGTGTATCTTAATTTCATCAGCTTCTCTTTCGTAAATCAGGAAGCCAAAAATGTTTGAACTGTCACAGAACGGGATGGCACATAGATTTAATGTCATTCTTAATAAATGAAAATTTTTAACATCATTATTGCACCATGTCTATTGGAAAAAAAATTGTAATTACGACTGATAGATATCAATGAAACTATTCTGTACATGTTTTCAAGGTTTTCAGGTGGTCATGTGACCTAATAGTCTAGAAGGTTCACGGTGATTCCTTTGCAGGATAATTGGTTCATAGACCCAGGCACATGTGATTTGCAAACATAGCACAGGGCTTGGGGAAGGAAAGTCTAATGACAGTGATGGAAGCCATCTCAACCGGTTGGGCACATTTTAATCATCGCCTCTATCACAGATATCAGTTGGCGTGGATATGATACATTTGTGACACTCGCAACATACTTATATAAAAAAATATAATTGATGAGTTACTTCTTTGTTGAAAAAGGCAGCTGACTCTTATTGTGCTATTATTGTATTATATATTATTACAATTTATTATAATTATTTTTTTTGACTCCTGATAACTACTTAATTGTATGATGTTTTTGCTGGAGTAGAATGAATCATGAGTATAAGTTTGTTTCATTTTTGTAACGTACTGCGGTTGCTCGAGTATAAGCCCATCCCCCCTACTTTTGTGTCTAAATGTATAATTTAAAATGAGTAATTCAGCTAACTTTACTAATCAAAAATTGGCTTTATATTGAGCATGCACAGTTAAAAATTTGCCTTTTGATTTTCCTTATAGGATTTTGACCTTTGATTTCTTTTTCCTGAAATTATTTACAAAAGTCAGCTGAGTAACTCTTTCAAGTATTAACCTGGGCTTTTGCCCAGGAAAACCTACTGTAGTACATACAATTAGGGACAAGTAGGGGATGGGCATATACCTTAGGTGGACTTATATTGAAGGAACTATGATAGTATGAAACTGGCTGCCACAGATAGATTTGCGATTTGCGTGAGTCAACCCTAAAATCAGTCCATACAGACTACTTTACGTACATTTAGACGACACACTGTAGTGCCAAATAATTAATAAGCAAAAAAAGGAAGCTATAAAAATATCTTGAGATATTCAAATATAATATCAAAAGGATTGTGTGTTTTGATTGGCATGCTGGGCCCTCAAAGTGCAGATGGACCCTGGATCAGTGCTTATTGCACTCAACGTGGTTTTAATTGTTTCCCTCTGATTATTATGTACTATACCAAGTTAAATTACATTTATTTTATTTCAATCATAATTTTTCCAAAAGGTAAAAAAAAAAATCTAGGAATTTTATTTTCATCTTTAAAAATGAAAAAAAATTCCAAAGAAGTTTGAAAAACTCTTTTAAGTTCTGTCCAAACTATCAAATTTTATGTGACAATTAAGGCCAAGTAAAAATTAAAAGTAGTTTCTCATCCTAATATTTTGAAAAAAGGAAAATGATGGCAAATCATTTTATTTCATCCAAACTTGACTTTTGCAATGCATTGCTCAATGGTTTACCTACTATTAGCATTAGACACCTTCAGAAACTTCAGAACTCTGCTGCTCGTGTTATAACATTGTCTAAAAGGTTCACCCACATTACGCCAATTTTAAATATTCTTCATTGGCTTCCAGTTGATAAGCGAATCATTTTCAAAATTCTTCTTCTCACCCAAAAATCTATCCATGGTCGTGCCCCACTTTATCTCTGTTCGCTTATTGACAAACAGGTTTCTTCCCGTTTTACTCGTTCTTCTCAATCCCTCAAACTTGTTACTCCACGAGTCAAGCATATTCGTACCGGTGAACGCTCTTTTTCTTTCTCTGCTCCTAAAATGTGGTACTCTCTACCTCCTCAATTACGTATCATTTGTGATCCGCAATTATTCAAATCTACTCTTAAATCATTCCTCTTCAATTAGTTCAACTTCTTTCTAACATCCTCCAACGCCGGTGACAAGCCAGTTTTGTTTGCTTTAATAGGCGCTTTAGAAATGTGTATTATTATTATAAATCCAAGATGGTCGGTAGGAAATAGCTACTACTTTCTCACTTTTACCAAATAAACACATAATTGAAAGCAAATAAAGAAGGCACTAGACATGATTCATATCATGTATTCCCAACCACGAACGATCGAGAAAAGAATTTCTCTGTGGTGAATTAGCCAGATTTTCGTACATTTCGTAAAATAAAGGAAATTTTTAAAAAATGGATGCACAAGGGGGATGAGAAACTAGGTATTTTTTTTTTTTGGCCTAAATTGGGATATGCCTATATTTAGATGTGATATGACCATCATGCCCATATATGGTGCATCATACAAATTTGTCAGATAATATTTGATAATGTGGATAGAGCAAAGATAATTTAATTGAAACATTAAATTTCTCATTTAAAATCATCAAAAAGTTATCAGCTTTTAGTGAAACACAGATTGACTCAATTTATTTTTTTGTGATTTACAGATGTTTTACTATAAAAATTCTTAATTTTCCGCCAGCCAATTTAATGATTTGTACAGATAATTATTAACAATATTATTTATACGTCTATTAAATGACGAGGGAATTATATTCTGGTTATATTTCTTGATTGAAAGCAAATTGCTTCCTTAAAAAAAGTAAGCTAAGCAAATAATAAATTTTATTGTTCAAGTATTATTAGCTTATATTATATACATGCTGTATATTATCGTTAAATCCTCTTATCCCTTGTGACTGTTATACGCTATAGTACATAATTTATTAGCATAATATTTGCAAAGACCTGCAGATATACTTGTAAATTAAATTCTATTTTACTACTACAATCAATCAACCAACAAAATACAGTAAAAAAAATGACCAGGTGTTAAAATTATTATAAAATTTTTAAATTCATATAGAAGATTTACAGAATATAATATAGGGAAAACATTAAATACATGAAGAGTAATATTAAAAATCAGCAATTAACACATTTATTTATTACTATTTTAAAATACACACACCCAGTGGAAAAGGAATCGGAAACCATTTGGAGTTTAGACCGATATTTACAAGTTTATTCCAAAGAATATCCGTTAACGATTATTATGGATTCAAAGTTCTGGAGCTGATTCAATATCCTATTATTTGCATGTAAACAAAAACAATTGGAAGCGATGTGAAAAGTAATGTAATTTTCTTGTCGGAACCTGTCATCGAACATCACACCCAATATACTTGACGGAAATTACCGCATGTTGTCAGCCGACACCTTTCTACCCAAGATGTCGTGACTTCAATTTGCGCTTAGCAATGTTTTCAATTTACCTCACTTTGTGCCTATGTCGCCTACACTTCACCTGTTGTTGAAGCCAGCACTAGGGATTACACCTGCTGTAGATTCTACAAAGTTGAATGATGACA